GGCACCCCTCTCTGCGTGGGTGGGTTTCCTTCCAGGGGGGCCTCCCTCAACCCCCCCACCCTGCTCAAGAGACCCCCCCCAAGGCTTCTCCATGGTGCAGGGGCAAGAGAGCAAAGTCCAAGGGTGCAGAGAGGGGGTGCTCCCTCCTGCCCCCCCCCCCTACCTACTGCGCAGCCTCGGGGGTGGGCATGGCTCTCCCAGCCGCCCAGCACCTACCAAATATTTCTATCCCGTGGCACCCACTGCCACCCACGCCATCAACACAACACAGGCACCCAGCAGTGCCACGGCTGCCCCCACTCCGCCATGGGAGCCCGTGGGGCAGAGCTATATGGCTGTGGGGCCCGGCGGGCACGGGGCACCCGCATCCCCGAATGCGCATCCCGCAGTCACCGCGGGGTGGGCACTGGGAATGAGGGCTGACCCGTGGCCACCGAGGGACGGGTGGCAAACCCACGGCCGGTGGAACGTCAGGCCACGTGGGGGAACCGTGGGGCACGAGGTGGCCCAGGGTGGCCGTAACGCAAAGCAGCGTGGCAAAACCCCATGGCGGGGGACACCCTCACGCCAAAACCTTCACCGCGGGGGAGGCAGGTGACACCTGGAGCTGCCCTGATCCACCCCGATTGCCGTCGGGATGGGGTCCAACCCTGGGAGAGACCCCCCCAGCACCAGAGAAGGCGTCGGAGAGCTCGGCCAGCCCCGCGGCAGAGCCGGTGGAGCATGCGGCGAGGCGGGCGCGGGGCTGGCCGAGGGCTAGGAAACCCAATTTTTGGCTAAAGCCACGCTAATGCCGCACCCGGCATCGGTAAGACCTCGCTGCCGGGGTGGCGGGGAGCGGGTCCCCTTGGGGAACGGACTCCCCTCGGCAACATCCCCCATCCCACGGACATCCCCAGTCCCAGTTTGACGAAGAGTTGGGTGCTGCTGGGTTCCAACCACCGGGATCGGTGGTTTGGAGAACTCAGGCGTCCTGGAGGGAATGACCGGGAGTAACCCCGCCGGTGACGTCACGGAGGGGGCGGGGCTAAAGGCGACACGATGTTGCGGTCGCCGGAGGGGGAGGGGGAGCCCGTCGGGGCTGTCCCGGTACCGGCACCTCCAGCCCGGGGGTCTCCG